AATATTGTTATTTGTGAATTTGATCCTGTCATTATGATACTAACTGGTTATTTTGCCCATTAGTTGATGCAGTTTCTTCATGGTGTTGATGGTCTTTACAATTTGGTATGTTTTTGCGTTGGCTGGAACCAGTTGTTCCTTTCCATATTTAGTGCTTCCTTCAGGAGCTCTTGTAAGGCAGGTCTGATTGTGACAAAATCTCTCAGCATTTGCTTGTCTGTAAAGGATTTTATTTCTCCTTTGCTTGTGAAGCTTACTTTGGCTGGATATGAAATTCTGGGTTGAAAATTATTTTCTTTAAGAATATTGAATATTGGCTCCCACACGCTTCTGGCTTTTTAGGGTTTCTGCAGACAAACTGCTGTTAGTCTGATGGGCTTCCCTTTGTGGATAACCCGACCTTTCTCTCTGGCTCCCCTTAATATTTTTTCCTTCATTTCAACCTTGGTGAATCTGACAATTATGTGTGTTGGGGTTGCTGTTCTTGAGGAGTAGCTTTTTGGTGTTCCCTGTATTTCCTGAATTTTAATATTGGCCTGTCCTGCTAGGTAGGGGAAGTTCTCCTGGATAATATCCTTAAGTATATTTTCCAACTTGGTTCCATTCTCCCTGTCACTTTCAGGTACACCAGTCAAACGTAGGTTTGGTCTTTTCACATAGTCGCATATTTGTTCGAGGCTTTGTTCCTTTTCATTTTTTTTTCTTTAATCTTGTCTTCATGCTTTATTTCATTAAGTTGATCTTCAGTTTCTGATGTCCTTTCTTCTGATTGATTGATTTGGCTATTGATACTTCTGTAGGCTTCATGAAGTTCTCATGCTGTGTTTTCCAGCTCCTTGAGGTCATTTATGTTCTTCTCTAAACTAGTTATTCTAGTTAGCAATTCATCTAACCTTTTTTCAAGGTTCTTAGCTTCCTTGCATTGGGTTAGAACATGCTCCTTTAGCTCAGAAGAGTTTGTTATTACCCACATTCTGAAGCCTACTTCTGTCAATTCATCAAACTCATTCTCCATCCAGTTTTGTTCCCTTGCTGGTGAGGAGTTGTGATCCTTTGGAGGAGAAAAGAGGTTCTGGTTTTTGGAATTTTCACCCTTTTTGTGCTGGTTTTTCCTCATCTTCTTGGATTATCTACCATGTTGGATTTATCGACCTTTGGTTTTTGATGTTGGTGACCTTTGGATGTGTTATTTTTGTGTGGACATCCTTTTTGTTTCTGTCGATGCAATTCTGTTTGTTAGTTTTCCTTCTAAGAGTCAGGCCCCTCTGCTGCAGGTTTTGCTGGAGTTTGCTGGAAGTTCACTCCAGACCCTGTTTGCCTGGGTATCACCAGTGGAGGCTGCAGAACAGCAAAGATTACTGCCTGTTCTTTCCTCTGGAAGCTTCATGCCAGAGGAGCACCTGCCAGATGCTAGCCAGAGCTCTCCTGTATGAGGTGTCTGTCAACCCCTGCTGAGAGGTATCTTCCTCTCAGGAGGCATGGGGGTCAGGGACTCACTTGAGGAGGCAGTCTGTCCCTTAGCAGAGCTCGAGGTCTGGCAGGCAGGAACATTTACATCTGCTGAAGCTGAACCTACGGCCGCTTCTTCCACCAGGTGCTCTGTCCCAGGAAGATGGGAGTTTTATCCATAAGCCCCTGACTGGGGCTTCCGTCTTTCTTTCAGAGATGCCCTGCCCAGAGAGGAGGAATCTAGAGACGCAGTCTGGCTACAGAGACTTTGCTGGGCTGCGGTGGACTCTACTGAGTCCAAACTTCCTGGTGGCTTTGTTTACACTGTGAGGGGAAAACTGCCTACTCAAGCCTCAGTAATGGCAGATGCCCCTCCCCCAACCAGGTTGACTTCAGACTGCCGTTCTGGCAGTGAGAATTTCAAGCTAGTGGATCTTAGCTTGCTGGGCTCCACGTGGGATCTGCTGAGCAGGGCCACTTGGTTCCCTGGCTTCAGCCTCCTTTTCAGGGGAGTGAACGGTTCTGTCTCGCTGGTGTTCCAGGCACCAGTGGGGTAAGAAAAAAAATTCCTGCAGCTAGCTCAGTGTCTGCCCAAATGTCTGCCCGGTTTTGTGCTTGAAACCGAAGGCCCTGGTGGTGTATGCACCTGAGGGAATCTCCTGGTCTGTGGGTTGTGAAGACTATTGGAAAAGCGTAGTATCTGGGCCAGAATGAACCGTTCCTCATGGCACAGTCCCTCACAGCTTCCCTTGGCTAGGAGAGGGAGTTCCCCAACCCCTTGTGCTTCCTGGGTGAGGTGACGCCCCACCCTGCTTTCGCTTACCCTCTGTGGGCTGCAACCACTGTCTAACTAGTCCCAATGACATGAGCTGGGTACCTCAGTTCAAAA